TAGTCATAAGTGGGAGGTCTCAAGCTTCATCCAGTTCTTCCAATTTCATGAAAGAATGCTGGTCTCTTCCAGGCTCCATCTGAAATCTGGCCTCCTTCTCTTTCTCTTGCCAGCTTCAGGGGCGGGCGGGAGGGGGGGACACTCATCAGCTCCTTCTACTGAATCAAACTTCAGAGGATGGCAGCTTTGGTACTATAGTAGTTGAGATTCTGCTGCCCTCTAGTTGCCAAATGTATCCTGTAAAGGCACAATAAAAGCACACCCCAAAAAGAAAAACAAGCATTATTTGAAGAAACGTAGTTTTCCAAGGGACTGCGGACATGTATTTAGCAGTCCTTTTACTGCTATAGTATAAGCCGTGTCATGCATGTGTACAATGAGCTGAGCAGTGGTGGAATCATAAGGTGGGGAAGAGAGGGACATTCTTAAGACCTCAAGCTAGGATGGCAGCACCCACCGACAGCCATTGCGACAGAACAGTAGCCATTGTGCCAAGCCATTGTCTCCTTCACAATGCAATTTCCTATTCCTCTGGCTCATAAGAATGAGAAGAAAGGACTATCAGTTAGACTTTGCAAATATTTTAACCTTAGCATGATAGAAAGTGTAATGTTGTAGATCTAATGAATGAGTGTTGTGTGTAGATCACAAAGCAGATTGCAGGAAGAAATAGAAAATTTGGACCTGACTTGAAAAGTATAGTCGAAATGCTAGGAATGGCAGGAGACTTCACATTTCTATTGTAAATGGTCAGGAATCCACAGGAGCGCGGTGGAATAAAATTAAGTAAGTACATACAAATTACAGTGTTGGTCCTTGAATATCAATGAAATTATGATTAAAGCTTTCAATTAAATGATGAGTCAGATTTCTGTCTTCTCTCTTTGTAGCTTGTGAGTTTCAGACTTACTCAATCAGATTCTCTTAAGAGCAATACATTTAATAATCTAACTGAAAATGTACTCACAACTGCATCTGTAACCGTCTTTGTTTGGAAATCAGAAGAGAGGTTCTTCTCCTCTAACATGAGTTTAGCTCATGCTGACTAAAGATTTTAAAAGAAAGAAAGCTATAGAAGGAAGACTGAAAAACAATATCAGACCCAAATCTCTTAGAATGGCTTCCTCACATAGTAAAGTTTATTCCCTTCAGGCAGCAGTTTTTTAGTTTTGCAAAGCATGTTAGTTAATATGCTAATGAGGCCACATTACTCTGATGTAGCAGTGATGGGTGTCAAAGGGTCAACCTCCCAAGTTTAATGTGGATTAATGTCAGTGTAGCAAAGAGGAACATACTGGTACTTCAGACTCAGCAGATTGTCTCTTGCACCAAAGAGATATGTTTTACTGGCTTCCACGTGTAGTTGTGTATAGGCATGTATGTACACTTACATTCAAGAAAAACGTCACAGCATAAGGTCTTGTTAAGCATTTGGGTTGGTTCAGTTTTCATGGTGGAACTTTTAAACTGGAGGTCTAGTTGTCCAAACACTGAATGGCCCCAAGGATTGGGAGAAGGCTGAGAGACAATGGATCCAAACTACAGAACACATGTGCACATAGGTACCCAGAGACAGATACAGCAGCCCCCGGCTCTCAATCCAAATCCTGCTCCAGAGCAATTGTGGTTCTTCCCAAGGGTATCTACCTATTCAGATGCCACCCTAGCCTTTATCACAGTTAGCATCAGCAAGAGAGTCTGACATCAGTGAGTGCCTGCAGAATAGAAAGACCCAGGGACATGCAGAAGAGTTTCTTTTCTTATACACAGTTCATAGACTAACTCTGTGGAATTCACTGCCAGCGTCCCCGGATGATTTTAGTGTCAGCTTTGGAAGCCATTTTAGGCCAGAAGTTTCCATGCTGCCACCTTTTCATGCGTGGGAAAGTAGGAGGGGGGATTTACTAGAGGGGTTGTCTTTAGATATAATAGCATTCTTCCTGTAGGTCAAGGTCAGGGCAATCCTGCATCTGGAGAAGGAGTGGTCAGAGTGATGTCTCGCGATGGGATGGATGCAGGGGTGAAATTCTCCCGGTTTGGACTGGATCGCCCGATCCGGTAGCAATGGAGGCGGGTGGTTTGGAGAACTGGTAGCAGGGGGCCGTGGCCAGGGGGGCTTTTTGTCAGGTCCGCCTGATACACCAGTTGCATCCCTTTCTAGATTGGGACTCCCTACGCACGGTCACTCAGGCACTCGTCACTTCCCGCATGGACTACTGCAATGCTCTCTACATGGGGCTCCCCTTGGGGTGCACCTGGAGGCTCCAGTTGGTCCAGAATGCGGCTGCGTGGGGGATTATGGGAGCGACGGGGTGCTCCCATGTGACACCTCTCCTGCGCGAGCTGCACTGGCTTTCTGTGGTCTTCTGGGTGCGCTTCAAGGTGTTGGTGACCACCTTTAAAGCGCTCCATGGCTTAGGGCCGGGGTATCTACAAGACCACCTTCTGCCGCCAATAGCCTCCCACTGGCCAGTTCGCTCGCACAGAGAGGGCCTCCTCAGGGTGCCGTCGGCCAGACAATGTCGGCTGGTGACCCCCAGGGGGAGAGCCTTCTCTGTGGCAGCACCTGCCCTCTGGAACTACCTACCCCCAGAGATACGCATGATACCAGACCTCCAGACTTTTCGTCGGGCCCTGAAAACACATCTATTTCATCTAGCCGGGCTGGCTTGACCCCATCCTTGCAGTTTTAAATTTGTAACTGGTTTTAACTGGGTTATTTTAAATTGATGGCCAAAATTATTTAATGTTTTTAAACTGCTTTTAAATTTTATATGTTGTGTTTTACCGTGGCTGTTCACCACCCTGAGTCCTGTTGGAGAAGGGCGGTATACAAATTAAATAAATAATAAATAATAATAATAAAAATCCCTGCCCACCCCCACCTCTCATACCCAGCTGAGCGGCACAATCATCAGAGGCTTTTTTTTTTTACTTTTAAAAGCCTTTTTTCTACAACCTCTTTGGCTGAAAAAAATGCTTTTAAAAGTAAAAAAAAAGCCTCTGATGATCGGGTGGCTCAGCTGGGATCCTCAAAGGCTTTTAAAAGCATTTTTTCTACAACCTCTTCGCCAAAGAGGTTGTAGAAAAAATGCTTTTAAAAGTAAAACAAAACAAAACAAAACCTGGTCATGCCCACCCAGTCACATTACATCCCCACCAAGCCACGCCCACAGAACCGGTAGTAACAAATTTTAGATTTCACCACTGGATGGATGGTGATTGGAGCATGTGATCAACTGAGGAGTGAGGGGATGGTTTGGGGGGTTTTGATTTACTGAGGGAAAACCCGGACCTCTCAGATTCCGGTTTTCCCAGATGTACCAGTTTACTTATTCTAGTAAATAGAACTTTGAAAAATGCTTGCTTCAGAGTTTTACTTGGGGTGGGGGGTTTTCTGGAACGCTGACATTTAGAGGTACAGCAGACAGGTTCAGAAGTATCAGGCAGAGTGGTGGCTGTTTATCATTTCCTTAACTGAAAAACACAAGGAGAGGCAAAGGGTATGCCTTGGGATTTGGGGCACTTTGTCTCATGCATTCCACAAACCTCGCTGCACCACCAAAGCTGTCCTGGAAGAGCAACATCAAGAAAAAGAAAGCAACTGAAGGAGAAGCAGCTGCTCCCCTTGGAGGGCCAGGCAAGAGCAGCCAAGCTCAGGCAGGCCTGCCTCTTTTTCTAGCTGGGGCAGCCACTGGCTGCCTGTTACCTTCCTCTCCCTCCCACTTTTGGCATCGGGTCTCAGCGGTTGATGTCTGAACTTTTGCCCAGGGGTGGGTGGATGGGTGCACTAACATGGGTCCCAGACGCTCTACTCATGCCCCGGCTACCTCATCTGGAGTGATATGCAGCATGTCCTAAATGCTAGTTGTGGGGAAGGATTGATTGCATTTAGGTCTGTGAGCTTCCCCAATGTGTCCTGTGGCCACTGGGCGATTTGGGAAGCCAGAGCCTGCCAGCTCCTCTGCAGAGGTTTTCATATAAATTGAACACATATATACAGTATATACTTGCAGGATCTTCCAGTGGGGAATGTGGTTTAGAAAATATGATGCCCCAAAAGACGTAGATAAAGGCCTGGAAAGAGCAATTGCTTTATTGGAAACAAAACAGGGAAAATAGAGGTGTGTATTAAAGGAGGGTGAATCCCTTAATATTCCAGATCAGGGATTTAGAATCATTCATAAAAATATAAGAATGCAGAAAAAGCAATAATGCAGCACGATCTGACAAAGCCTGCATGTATTCCCAGGGGCCTCTGAGGAAACGTCCCCACAGTCCCCATTTCCAGATAGATGGGTGCACAGCTACTTCTGGAAAGGAAGGAATGCAATTTTAGACATTGAGGCTATGCCAGAAAAGAGAAATTTTATGGGGATTCTTTTCTGGGCACTCCCAGCTTGAGAGAGGGAAGGTGGGGAAGGGTTCTCCCTGAGGGCCAAGTTGTCTCAGGTCCTAAATTGGCTTCAGAATAGGAGAAGGAAATAGATGGATCTGCTCCTCCCTCCCCCCTTCATCCTCCCTCCAGGTCAGCAAGGCAAGAGAGTGCTGATAAGGGTAACCTCCCCATACATATGGAAGGGAACTGCATTCACCCCCAAACCTAGGAGATGCCTCCCTCCACATTTGTGAAATGCTCAGTGCCCTAGTAAGAAAATGTTTGCATCAAGATGAATTGGTTCCTGAATGGCAACAGGGATGAATTGTACAGGAACCGGTGGCCCAGTAAACCGAATTATTTACATATATTCACTGACCACACCTCAAAGATAGTATAGCTGACAGAAATGAGATGTAAGCATCAAGAGTTTTCCACCTACATTAGAGCTTAGTGAGAAGTCACAGAAGATATAGATATAATTTGACTTAGTGCAAAAGTATCCTGATGTAATTTTGGAAGAAAGGAAAGAGAAAATTAGGATGGGATAGGACAGGACAGGACACTTTATTTGGCCAAGTGTGGTTACAGAATAGATAAATAGAAAATAGAAAAAAGGATACTGGCGAAAAATATTTAATTGAACAGCAATCAGAGAGGATCTTCTCTGAACAGCAAAGTCCTCAATCCTGGGATTCTTCCTTTTCTGAGTTAAGGAGAGCTGAAAGAAGATGGAAATTCTCTAAGGTGCGCTTCTTGCCAAGAAACTCCATGGCTTCATTTGAACAAAGGCGCTTTTCCTTGATAATTAAATAAGTTCAGGAACAAGGGGCTTCTAACATCGCTGGGTCAGGCAGATTGTTGTCTTCTCTGTTCCCTGCCCTGTAGAAACATACAGTTGTACATACTCATGTGTGCCTATGCAATGTGCATGTGCATGCACACATGTGCACGTGCACACACACAAGGCTGACTGTTCAGCTACTTCTCCTTTCTGTATCTGGTCCACCACTTCTTATGGATTCTCTCCCCATGTATCTAAAGGGCAGTCAGGGTAGGAAGGTAGCATGGAGTAGCCCAGCTGGTGAGTTTGCTGTAGCATAGATTCAACCCCCCCACCCCCCCCACCCCCCGCAGGAGGCTAGCCTACATGAGCTTCAATCCCCCCTCCTACTTATGGGTCTATGGTTAGAAAGGGAGTCTTGTGGCATCAGTTTGCCAGTCCTTGCCTCAGGGGGAGGAGGAGGTCAGGGTTGGTTTCTTTATTTTAGAATGGAAACAGGAAAAATATATGAGAAAACACCTTCAGACATCAACTGAAATGAAAATGCATTCAATTTATACTTAATAGTGAAGATAGTTGGTGGACATGCCAAGTACCGCTCAGATTGTCTGGTTCTCCTGAAATTCCTATAGGGAGTGGGGCAGTGCCCAACCAGTCCTGAGGAAGGAGATCTGTTGAAGTAGAAATCTACCACGGAACCCTGCCGTGGTCTCCCTGGAAATGGGGGCTCAGCATGTCCTGCCTTGCCCCTGGAACCAAGCCAGTTTGCCTGCCCGCGGCAGGAGAGCATCACAGCCCTTCTCCTGCTCTCTGTTCTCGCTGAAGGGCACGAGCCCTTTGCCCTCGCAGGTGGCTAGCTGGAGGGAGAGGAGTACTTACACCGGGCACGGAAGGGCTTCTCCTCTTGACAGATCCTGACTCTAAGTCAGCCCTCGATACTATCAGTGTGGCATCTTGCGGGGTTGTTAGCAGGGTGTTCTCCTGGGCTGACTAACCACATCTACTATCGTCACTGTGGTGATGGGGAAATACTGCCGAGGGTCTCTGATTGGCTTGTGAGTGGCCAATGGTCCGCATTTCTTGATTTGCTCGCTGAGATACAAGCACATCTCCCAGGAATCTACCAATGCCTGATTAGGATCGGTGGTCACATGAGCGCCTTCCCTCAAAAGTGGGAAGTAGGGAGGGTGGGATGGTGGCGGGGAAGAAAGGGAAATGAACCACACACGATGGCCCTAGGTCGATTTAAGCAGGAAAAGCTAGTGCCGCGGCCGCCGCCGCCGCCGCCGCTGCCGGATAAGCCCGAGAGCTAGATCGAGGGAAAATAGGTAGATGAGTGAAGAATGGTCCCTAGGACACCCAAGTGCGGGCGGCATTCTCCAAGCTGCCAGGGGGGCTAAGAAGGACCGAGAAGAGCTGTGTCGGGCTCAGCGGTTGGGCAGCAAGCGAAGGAAGGAGTTGGGCTCCTTCTCTCTTTGCCCCTGGCTCCTTTTGCCCCTCCTCCCCCTCCCCCTCCTCGTGACGGAGTTGGTGCGGGTCGGGGAAAATCCGCGGAACCATCTTCTGTTCATCCGCATGCGGGGGCGGCGTTTCCTCCTCTCCCTGGAAACGCCCCCGCCTCGCTTTCCTTTTTTTGCTGGCTTCTTGCCGCCCCTCACGTTACAGTTCATCCGTGCCAATCACTTTCCGCATCTCCTGCTCTGCAAATGCCACCCGGTGGGGGCAAGCCAAGTGCGCAGGCAGCCCCTTTCTAAAAATAGGGAAGGGGGACCCAAGCAGGGGCGGGAGGGGGCTGCCGTGAGCCTGAACGGTGCGTGGCTCGCCGCTCTTCCCCCGCCGCTGCCACGACTGCTCGCGTAGACCTCGTCTCCCCTTGGTCCGCCGCCCCGGTCCCGAAGGAGGCGAGCAGGCAGGAGCGAACCTCTGCACGGCCGGATGGCGGCGTAGCGGCAGGGCCGGGGGCAGCAGAGGCGCCCAGTAGGCAGCGCGGTCGCTCGTCTGAAGGCTCTTTTCCGCGGTCCCCCGCCCACTCTCCCTCCTTCCCTCCCTCCCTCCCGTTCTCAGCCCTCGCTGCCGCCGCCGCCGCCGCCGCCGCCGCCACCCGCGAGAACGGAGTCTACGTTTCAGTGAGGCCGTTCGCGAGCGTTTGTCTCTGCTCGCTCCCGAGGGACCTGCTCCGCCGCCACAGGAGAGCTTGCTCCATCGCTCGCTCGCTCGCGCAACCGAGGATGCTGCTGTTGCCGCAATTGCCGCTGCTGGGGGCCAGAAGTGGAGTGTCGGGCCGGCGCTGAGGGACCCTCCCGTGCGCCCCTCCCCTCCCGCTTTCTCCTTTCCTTCCTCCCCAATGTTTAAATGCTTCATGTGATTAAAAAGCAGCCGCCGCAGCACCCCGACGTCGGGCACCCAGGATATCGGTCGCGGGCACCGGCCCTTCCTGCGCGCCGAGGAGGGCGACGAGCGCGGCTCCCTTCCATCCCTTCCTCCCTCCCCCTTCCCTCCCTTCCATGGTCCTGGAGGTGGAAATGTGGAGATTTCAGGCACGCAGGCTGAGTGGATTCGTCTCTGCTTTGGCAGCTCTTTGTCTAGCCTGCTGCGCCCAAAGGTAAGAAGCGACGTCGGATCGGGAAGGCGAGGTTGGGCTGCAGAGCCCCCGCTCCCGCATTGCTTTCTTGCGCCACCCTCGAGTCGCCGATAAGGGGACCCGCTCAGTCCCGCGGGGGAGAGCAGCCGGCCGGCCGACGGAGCGGGCAAAAGAGAGCTGACCCCGAAGGAGGCCTCTGGCGGAGAGGGGCCAGTGGGAAGAAATTGCTGCTGGCCATTTGCCGCCCGGAGCAAATCGCCACTGTTGTTGCGCCTCTGGACCCCGAGGGAGCTGCTGGCGCCGCGGCGAGATGGGGATGGGGATCGGCGGCGATGCAGAAGGGGCGCCAGCACAGCGCTGCCCTGCCAGGTTGGCTCTCGTCTGCACGCGATCTGCACGAATCGCCGGCGTGTCGTTTGCCTCTGCCTGCTTAACTGGGAGAGCCAGAGGAATCGGGACCTGGAGGCCGCATTTCTATCCAGGGTTCAAATTCCTTAAAGAGACAGAGCTCTCCAGCCCTTGGCCCTGCTGGCACCCAGGGGGGAATTGGAATCCGACTATAAATAGATTGTGTGTGTGTGTATTGGGTTTAGATGGAGATCAATGCCCAAAGAAATGCCTCCCCCCATTTTGGAAGGGATATGAAGACTCTTCTGCAGAACTGGCCAGGAGCAGAAGCTGCTGAAGGACTTTTGCTAGTTAAGGGGAGTCCACCCTCTTCCCCCAAGTTGCTCTTCTGACCAGAGACAAGACAATGGGGCAGGCCTTAAGTTCAAGTCCTTCTGTTCTTCTCTCATATCAGGCTCTCTTTGGAGGTAATACAAAACATCTAGGCAGTCAAAAACTGAAAATCTGAACTGGAAAGTGGAGCTGTCCCTGTGCCAAATCAGTTGGGGAAGAACTGGTAGTCTAGTAAGCCTCCTATTTGAATAAGATCTCTGTGCAAATCAGAAGCTTGCATGTATCACAGCAGGCATCTTCTTCTGAGCCATTCCTATGATACTCAGGTTAGGGTTAAGGGGAAAAATCCTGGTAAAGAGCAATCTTTAGCCCACCATCGGCCTCTTTCTGTGCCTCTTCAAAATGCTCAATATTGCATGGAAGAGGTGAATGGAGGACCCTGTGTTAAGGGACAGATGATGTCAGAAGGAGCTGGAAGCAGATTCCATATAGCATAACATTTTAGGAGAGCTTTGCAGGATTGGGCCTTTGGTTCCCATTGGAAGACCAAAGGGGACTTAAGCTGTGAAAACCGATCTGTACAAAATTAACAAATCACATCACACCTTTATTATTGCCATGGTCTTCAGAACTAGGCAGGGCTTGCACCTAGTAAGGAAGTATAGTGCCATCAGAACTTGAGTATTCCACTTCCATGATTTCTCCAATCTCATAAAAACTGGCCAGCGCTGCCTGTGCCTTCCAGTAACAAATCCCATGAATTTCATGCTTGAAGATAAACATCCCTCTTGTCAGGTTTCAAATCTCCTGCCACACGCCTGTGTCATGAGATGCTTTCCATGAGGTCTATTCTTTTAGGGGGAGAGAAAATGCTTTACTTGATTGGATTGACCCACATTAGATATAATTTTAGATCCTTTGCATACTGCAAAGCATCAATCTCCTAACCATTTGGACCATCCTTTTCTGTGTTATTTCACTTCTTCAAGATACTTTTGAAGATGGGAAGACCAGAAATTGTGCACAGCATTCAGAAAGTGACAGTCCCATGAATCTTTAGAAAGGATGCACCAGGACACTGCCTGGCTTTATCAGCATGCTTCCTGACTTCTTAAAGCACCAGTTTGCCTTTGCCCAAAGGCCAGGGGCCTTTTTCGGAAGACAAATGCAAAACAATCTCCCCAAGTCTTCCTCTGGGCTGAGTCATTAAGAAGACCAGGAGGTGTTTTAACCCACTAACATTAGCACTAGCAGCAGCCATAGTGGAAAAGAAAGGCTTCCTCGGCTTGGCTAAAGACACACACACATGTTCAGAGAGGCCACATGCTGTTTTCATCTGCTGATTGTGTCTGAATCACATATGGGGTGGTGGGCAGGAGGGATGGCTCTGAAGGGTACTCCTGCTTCTGACCCACCTTGGCTGGCTGAGAGTCCTGCTGCAGCATCTGTTTTCCTTCAATCTATGACAAAGGAAACGGTGCCTCTGCCTTGGGAAAGGGCAATGAGAATGATGACTGCATGAACCAGCCTGCAGAGAGAACAAGATCCATAGGGCTGGATATAGTGCAATGGTTGCAGGAGTGTGGAGCAACTGCTGGATTGTGAGTTGTTAGCCTCGGGCCACAGGATTTTGCTTCCTTTGTGTCTCAGTCTGTTTCCTTCTCTCCACCCCACCCTGCCCCTTTGGAGGGACCAAGAGGAAACTAAGAGGTTTAGGATGGAGGCAGGCTCATCACACCAAGACCACTGAGGCCAAGATGGAGCCTTGCCCCTCATTGGCTGTAGAAAGGCAGTTGCTCTTTAGAGCATTTTCAGGGGCACAGGAGTCTCCTGCCCATCCGGTAGTGGATGGAGCAGGGACAGCAGGAATGACAACCAGATTCAGGAGGCCCCAGGAGAATTAAAGGGGCAGAGCAGCCTCTTCTTTGTGTAAAGACGATGGCCTTGTGAGCGGATTTCAGAAGTTGCACATCTCATGGGAGGCCAAGCACAGGAGGGGTTATGGGGCAGAAGCTGTCAGGCTGCTAGGGACCTGCCAAGAGGAACCAGGATGCCATGAAGATGCAGATCTCCTCCCGGTATTCCCAGAAGGCTGCGGGGAGGGAAGGAAACGGCATAGCAACTTCTGGGCAGGACCATCTGGGTTCACGAGAGGCAGCAGGCAGTGGGAGCAATCCGACAGGAGACGCCGGTGTGGGAGTCAGCCAACCTGCTGCAATTGGAGGTGGCTGATCTCCCCCAGTCTTTCTCTGGCCAGAGCAACTGTTTCTCCTTTAGCTTTTCTTGGTCACTACAGTCCAGGATCTTGTGGGATGCTGGGTGTGGGTGTGGATGTGGGTGTGGGGCACTGATTAGTGACCAGATCACATTACCTTTCTGTCTTCTAGCCCAGCCACTGGGAATATATCCGTGGTTAAAGATATTGTGGACAAATTGCTGAAAGGGTACGATGTCCGTCTCCGGCCTGACTTTGGAGGTATGTAGATCTTTCTGTTCCTTTTGCTTTACTAGGGGCCTTGGTTCAAAGTAGACAGAGACCTCCACAAGGCCTCTGTACAGTAGTAGTCAGAGCTACTGTCGCTCTGTAGCTTTTGTAATGACCTTTGTAATTTCCTTCCCTTTCCCTCATTCGCACCTGTTTCTCGGCTGGGCCAGGCAATCCATGCCTGATCAGAGCCAGTCTCCACCAGAATCTGCTCTCAGTATTGAGAATGACCGGGGGGGGGGGGGGACAGGAGGAATGAAGATTGGCCTTGTCTGGAGGTGTCCTTTCTTCAGAGGTGGCTGCTGTAGACTTCCTGACCCTCCTCCCGACTACAAAGGTCAAGACGTTGCTCCTTGCCCCAGGATCCCATAATATCACAGTGGCAGATCAGTTATCCTGACGAGGCCTCACCTATCTATGTCTTCCTGGGCTGAGGGATGCATACACACACAAATGTCTTGTTGTGCAATTCTTTGAGGTTCTTCCAATATGGCATGAAAAAAGCATGCCAAGGCAATCAGTTGTTTGCTTAGAAGGGTGCAGATTGGTCATTGCAAAGAGGAGGAGTCCAGTGGCATCCCAAATAATCGGCACTCAGGAAAACACTCCAGGGGCTGTTAATCGTACATTTTTGGTTGACAGGATGTTAGGACTGGAACTTTTGTTATTTAGTTGCAGTATACAGTTCTTCATTGTGTATTGGACATTGTCATGGTTCATGGTTGCTGTTGACTTTTTTTTTCTTTGGAAATGTTGGGTCACTTTTATATTCATTTTGCTAAGATCCTACAATATTAGTACTACTACTAATAGCAGAGCTAAGAGTATTGAAAATGTTTTATGTATACTTCATAGTTTAAACATTGCTTGAGTGAGAATGTACTGAGTAGCTGGTAGGATGAGGGCAACAGCGTGTTGCTTGCAAAAAAAAAAAAACCTCTGTAGATCAGAGATCCTGGTTTAGGAGACTAACATGCTTGGAGAAAAACTGGATGTGCTTGTGATATCTTAGCATAAAATGTACCAAAACAGAAGGTCATTCTCCTTAACATAATCAGAGAATGCTTTATGTGGTTAAGACTGGTAAAATCATCCACACATTCTCTTATCTTGTAAAAAGGAACATATAAAAATCTAGATTGATCAAAACCATAAAGGATAATAGAAGTCAATATTTATGATCACACCTATGATGATCATTTTATATGGAAGATGACATAGAATGCATTAGAGAAATTACTGTAAAGAGCATGAATTAACAAATTAAAAAATTAAAAAAATAGGATGAAGGATGTAAATGAAGGTGGTCTGATTTTGTGGAGTGGTATTGATAAATATAGGCAATTTTTCAGAGAGGTGTGAGATGGTGATAATGGGGATTTCATTTCCCATCTGCTGTGAATCTAATTCTATTAAGTAAATTCTTGCTCTCTTGCTGATAAATACATTTGCCAGAAGGTGAAAGAAAGAACAAAGGATCTATTATAGTAAACAAATCCTTACTAAAAGGGATGAGTTGGTTGAAGAAGTCATGATGACTAGTACCTTGAAGGAAAATGATCGTATTATCCTTGAATTCATGATATCCAGGGGAGAAGAAACTAAGAAGAATCAGATCTGCATGCTGGACTTCAGAAAAACATATTTGTTGAACTCTGAGGAAAGGTAGGTTAGATCCTATGGCTTGAAATCTCGAAGGAGAAACATATCTAGGAACCATGGAAAATGAACACAGTTGCAAACAATTCCAATAAGAAGAAATATGGAAGAAATATGATGGCTGAGACGGCATCTGCATCATATTGGTCTGTTTTTAAAAAATTCTTGGCTAGGCAACTTCAGGTCCAAGATATAATATGCTAATCTATAAAACTCTTGAGGAACAGGAAGAAGGACTGCAACCAAGACAACGGTCAGATAAAGTGGAGTCCAAGATAGAAGTTGAGAAAATTTGAGAAAAACTTTCAGACTTGACCCTCCCTAGTTTTCTTGAAGATAAAGGGCGGCGGGGGTGTGTGTGTTATATTCAGACTTGTAAGATTGTCTTACAGTAACCTTATTATAAAAGCAGCAATAGCATTCATAATTTTAGACTAGTCTGGTCTACCTTGAAAGGCTGACAAAGTTGGGAGATAGGATAGTAACCTTAGCTTAAAATACAATGAGTATAAGAAAAGAAGATATTGCTTAGAACCCAAAGAAGAAAATTATGCTACAAAGTGCTCAGATTTGGATGGGTGCAGCTTTGCTATTAGGAAGGATCAGGGGTGAAATGCTCCCGGTCCACAGAAAAATTATTTGCATTTTTTATATTGTGCTAAATTAGGGGTCCTCAAACTACGGCCCCTGGGACAGATACATGCAATGAACTTTTGTGTTCCTGCAGAGAGTCTCCCCCTTCAGAGTCTTTTTGTGTGAGTTAGAGGGGGGCAGAAATTCCGACTTGGGGTCTGTTTCAGCTTTCTGGTGTGGGGCTTTGGGCGAAGGGTGGAGGGAAGTGCCGCTGGTGGCGAAGAGCCGGAGGACCTTGTTCCAGTGGGACTGCATCATGGCTTGGAACTGGCTGATCATCTCAGCTTGCTGAGCCTCCAGGTGCCTGTATCTGGCCTTGCACTCCCACAGTTCTTTCCTCTGCTTGGAAAGCCTATGCTCCTAGTCCTCAGTGAGGTGCTTCTATTGAGCCTCCTTCTTGGTCAGATCCAATTTGAACTGAGCTGTTTTGCCAATTCTTTCTCATGGTGGCTGATTAGCTCCAACAACTGCTTCCTGTTGGGGCCCTAAGGAACCCGGGCGGGGAGGCAAGGAGTGGCAGGGAGGGGAGGGGTGAATAGAGGCTGGTGAGACTTCCCTCAACATGAGTGACGCCCACCCAGTCACATGACCACCTAGCCACGCCACCCAGCCAGTCATTAGGCAGATCATATTAGTGGTCCGCGGGATTTAAAATTATGAATTTACTGGTCCCTGAGGTCCGAAAGGTTGGTGACCCCTGGTATAGGTGGTATTAAAAAATGAATGTGTCTTCCATATGGAATAGCTTGTGAATTGTTTAGCTTGTATGAGGATGGCATCTATGCCTTATGTCTAGAGGAAGGCTGGGACCGTTTCCCTGTATAAAGGAGAAAGTATCAAGATGTGGTGAAATTTAGTTTGTGCCTGGGAAGATGGGAAAGGCACAAGAGTAACCATGAACAATGGTTGGGAGATGCTGTGCAGCTTCATGCCAGGCAGGGGATATGAAGACCCTCATTTTGCCCTTCAACAGGTAATTGAAAAAGATACGAATGCAAGCAACAAGCGTTACTTCACATTTGATTATTTAGAGAAAGTATATGATAAAAATAGGGCTGAATTGTTTGGGGCTCAATGGATAAAAGAACTGGGAAAAAACCCTGGAACTTTGATGTTATATATGCTGACAGCAGCAACAATACTTTATGCCAGGGGTGAAATCTACTTACCTTCCCTACCAGTTCGGAAGTGCGCACTTGGACCCTCTGTGTGTGCACAGAAGGTCAAAAACAGGTTACTTCCTGGTTAAAACCAGGAAGTAACACGGTCCGGGTGGGTGGGCGGAGCCTTGCGCTGCCACCGCTACCGGTTCTCCAAACCACACGCTGCCACCGCTACTGGTTCAATTGAACCGGTCCAAACCGATAGCATTTCACCCCTGCTTTATGCTCAAAAATGGAAGGATACTTTGATTTCCGTGATGGTTGAATGGTTGCAAAAGTTGATGGTGTTGGCAGAGATGGCTGAGTCGACTGCTCTGATTAAAGGAAGCAATACTTGGCAACCATTTTTAGACTTTGTGCTTCAGGTGTAAAAAATGAAAGTTTGATTTGGGTTTTCTGATTAGATAGGTTTGATTTTGCATTTTGTTGCTACTACTACAATGACTAATTTATATTATTAAGTAAAAGCAAAAAGTTGATGTTGTATGTTATTACCTTATTCTACTGTGTCAAAAAGAATCAGAAATCAATGCCTTTCTCTTCCTTTTTTCTTCTACCCTACACTTTTTCCGCTTTCCCTTCCACTCCTCTATTTTCTGATTATTTTCTTTCTTTCTTTGTATCTCAATATTTTATATTTTGATAAACTAATAAGAAATTGAAACCAAAAGCTAAAATAGGGCTGAATTATAGAACATTTCACATGAATATGAAGTTAAAGTTAGGTTACTGAATGTTCTATAAACAATCCATGACGGAAATACGACATGGTGAGAATAAATATAAGGTCTGAAAAGTAATGCCTCCATCATTATAATTCACTACCAGATGCTAGTGCTGGCTTCTCAGAAACTCTGGGATGTGTGTGTGTGTTAGCATTTGTTCTTTCACTTCAGTTGGTGGGAAATTGCTGTGAGGAAAGATTGTGTTGCTGTTATTTGTGAAATGAAAGCCTGGAATGAGTACTCATCAGTGTACATGACATTTTTGGCTGTTGAAGGAGTCTCTTCCATTGAGGCTCACTGCTGAATGCTGCTTGTCTATAGTGATGACTGTGTGGATGTGGGTACTGTGCGTTGCTTGGCTAAAATAAAAATAAAAATTAAGAATTAAAGATAATGAACTGGGAGGAGCCAATTTTATGGTCAGAAATGAAGTGCTGTAGATGACCTACGGCAGCAACCTCTGAGTTCCATGTGAGAAAATCAGATGAATCAATTAGGAACAGCCAACAGATTATCAAAGGGAAATTGCTGTCCAACACAGCATTTCACAGGAAACCTGTAGGTCACATTATGGATCTTCTTCAATATCAGAAGGTTTGCTCCAGATGGGTTCCTTCAATGCTATAGCAGGGATGAGAGCTTCAAGACTAAATTTGCCAGCAATTACCGTGTTTCCCTGAAAATAAGACCCTGTTTTATATTTTTTTGAACCCTGAAATAAGCGCTTGGCCTTATTGCCATGCACTCAAAAGTCTGATTGGACTTATTATCAGGGGATGTCTTATTTTGGGGGAAACAGGGTATTGTCAAC